CACTTTTAAATCAAGCTTCAGAAATATGGGTCATTGTTGTTTGAAGAGGGGGTGTATTTAATAGAAAAAACAAATGCCAGGCCTGATATGATAGAAGCTGACACACACACACCTCAAAAGGCACTAGCAAATTATTTTGATTGAATTAAACAATTAATCTTTCACATTATGCATTTACTTTTATGAATTTTCACTTTCAGAGTTAATTTTTTCTGACCTCATCATCAAATTCTGGGACATCATACCTTTCTTTTTTAAAGAATGTGACAGTAGTGACAGTAAAAAAAAAAATCAATCCTCTTACTAAATCTGGTCAACTTAACTAGGTTAGTGAAAGAGAAAGTTCGTGAACAAAATGACATGACCAGAATCCCCACCCACCTCAGAATGCAAGGGAATGTATTCAACATTCAACAAAGGAAGCTAGGCAAAGAAGGAAGAAGCAATGAGACAAAATTTCACACGGACTCTGAATTGCAGAGAAGAGAGGAAAGCTGTAAGGAATCCTACTGCACTTTCTTAGAATCTCATGCAGCCTAAACCCTCAAAAATCTTTAAAATTTTATTTTGAATGCTCCCTTTTTAAGGATAGAGAAGAAACTGAACAGTATTGAGAAGAAAATCTAAACTGAGCAAACTGGAATGCTGGGGAAAGGATCAGCAGAGAAAGGCTTCCAAGCATACCATAACCATAAAACACATTTTCTCCAGGTGAGAGCACCAGTGTGGAAGGCCATAAAGCTTTGGATCTCTCAGAAGTAGAGGCAGGACAACTTTCTGAATCAAGCTTAGCTTCCAAAGATAGAAATGGAAGCAAAAAGAAGCTACATTTCTGAATACTTTAGGGTAACAACAAAGAGCTCTTGAGTCATGAATTTGTGAAAAGCTACTCTAACTTTTCTCTGTTCCTTATGTAGGAATATTCTCCTAATAGTTTTTAAAAAAAAAAACAAAAAACTTTATTTTACACCAGAAAAAATTTCTTTATAATCAAAACCCACATAAAAAATTGCAAGACAATATATAAATAAACCAAATAATGCTCCAACAGATAATGAAAACACACCCCAAAAATGTAGCCACGAGGAAGATTAAAACAATACTGTCAGATTTTTAGTCTAGAAAATTAAGAAAATGACCAAGATTTTACAAGAAAAGCATAAATCTGTAATAGAACAGCTTTGAAGTGAGGTAACTAGTAAATAATAGAATCTGAAAATAGAGTAGACAAGAATTAGTAATAAACTAGATAAGTATAAAAGAAAGGCATTTTAAAAATGGACTTTAAAGCAGGAGAAATTCAGTACTATAACCTGTTAATTAAAAAAAATAAACAAATTTTAAAAATAAAATAGAAGAAGTACAAGAACAAATAGTTACATATAAAAACTGTAGTACAGGAATTAAAGTATAGAATAGAGGAACTTAAATTTAATGAACAATAATAAGAACAACAATAAAATAAGATAAAAATATTTAAAAAGAAAGTTATAAATATACAAGATAAGCTAAATACATTGATCATATCAATAAGCACAAACTGATTAAGTCACTTATTAAGAACAGAATTTTAGATTGCCTAACAAATTAACATTCAATTTTATTACTGTAACGACAGACAAACATAAACACATGATTAATAAGTTTTAAAAAATAAAAGGGATAGCTAGAGATATACATCTCGAAAGAGTAATCTCTACAAGCTATTTAAAATATATTGAATATATTTAAAATGTCACAATGCAAAATAGTAAAACAAAAGAAAGAAAACAGGGAAACAAAAAACATTGTAACTTATTGGAAGCTGCCAGAACACCCATTTATTATCCTGAAAATTGATCATTAAAAAAAATAAATAAATAAGAATTTATCCTATCTTTACAGTATTTATACCCTGTATTTCAGGGTAATTAAATAGCTTTAGGAGACATATTTTTCAATGCCTATATTCTCCAGCTAATTTATGCAGCAGGAATAATAAAATTAGAAAAATAACAGTTTTGTGATCTCTGATGAAATAAATGATTCAGACAATGGTCATTAACAGATAGTAAGACTATTAGGTAAAAATTAATGGGAACTTTTTAATGAAAAGATCAAGCTATCACCATTGATCAATTTTATTATCACTGAGAGTGAGGTACTTAGGCATCATGTGCTTTCTTATTTGATGCAACATGAAGGACGCAGCCCCACCTATGAAGTATTCTTCTCACATACACTATGCACACACTCACACACATACACACAGAACTTGAATCTAATAAAATATTTAGGTCTAATTTATAATCTATTGGAAATACACAAGGTAGAGAAACAAGGTAAATGATATCAATAGGAAGCAATCAGTCAGATCCAGAGTGGGGATACTTTATAGGAAAAACAGACCCAATTTTTCCAATGTCATTAAGAAAAAGGTGAGGGTAGATTAAAAGTAATTTTAAAAATACTCAAGTGTAAGGAAAACATGTTTTCCATTTGGTTGGGACAGTCCTAGTTTACTTTAATTATCCTGATATAATTATTATTAAACCTCCCTTTACTCTCGTACACATTTAGGGTAGAGTTATAGACTATATGACCACCTTACTTAAAAGACAATCAACAAAATACATTGAGAAAACTTGGTTTGGATCCTGATCCTCACAAGCCAAAAAAATGAAAAAACAAACATACTTTATGAAAGAATGTTGTTTTTTTATATTTTTTGTTTTTTTCATTTTTTATTTTCATTATATATGAAATATGTATAATGTAGGTATACATATATTTTTATATTTATTTTTTATTTTTCATTTTCATTATATATAATCTTTGAGGTTTTTGTTTATTTACACTTTTTTAACAATTGGAAGAATTTGAATATAAATTGGAATTTAGGTCATATTATGGAATTTCTGTTAGGGAATTTTGTGTGACAATAGCATTGCCGTTATATAAGAACATATTCTTCACTGTAAAGTATACCTCAGAATCTTGGTGTGAAATGACATGATGTTTGAAATTTGCTTTAAAATATTCAAGCCAAAAAAGGGGCTGGGGTGTTTGAAGTATTGAAACAAATATAACAAACATTAATAGTTGTGGAAGAAATATGAGAGATGGGTACATAGTGCTAATTTTCTGTCTGCTTTTGTGTATGCTTGTAACTTTTCAAAATGAAAAGTTAAAACAAAATAATTGATTTTCTGAAAGAATTATAGTAACTGATTGAACTTCATATCAGCTTGTGATCATTATAAATTCTAAACGTTCATATACCTAATATTAGAGTTTCAAAATACAAGAAGAAAAAACTGATAAAATTGAAAAGGAGAATACAAAAATTCACAATAATAGCCAGAGATTTCAATACCAAACTTTCTATAAATTGATAGAAAGTAGACATAAAATCATTAAGGATATAGAAGATTTGAACTACATTAACCAACTTGACTTAATTGACATTTATAGACTATTCCACTCAACAAAAGCAGAATAAACATTCTTTCCAAGTGCACACAGAACATTTGCAAAGATAGACTGTATTTGATGCCATCTAACAAGTCTCAATACATTTAAAATAATTCAAGTCATACAGAAAAAATTCTTTAAGTGCAATGCAAATTAATTAGAAATAAATAACAGAAAGATCTATGGGAAATTCCCCCAAATATTTGGAAATCACATAGTGCATTCTAAATAATCCATAGGCCAAAGAAAAAATCAAAATGAAAATTTAGAAAGCATTTTGAACCATTTAGTTCAAATGAAAATACAATCTATTAAATTTGTGCCATATTGATAAAAAAAGTATTTGGGGAAAATTTTTAACACCAAATACCTGTATTTGAAAAGAAGAAAAGTCTCAAGTCAATGACCTCAGCTTCTACATAAACAAATTAGAAAATAGGAGCAAATTGACCTGAAATATGCAGAAGAAAGGAAATGATAAAGATCAGAGTCTGGAAATTAATAAAATAGAAAACAGAATGGCAGATTAAGTCAATGAAACCAATAGCTGTTTCTTTGATAATATTAAAAAAAACTAGTAAACTTTTGGCCAGACTTAAGAGAAAAAAGGGAATAGTTACAAATTACCAGTCACAGGAATGAGAGAAGATACGTTACCTCAGATTCTGCATGTATTAAAGGGATAATTAAAGGGTATTATGGAAAACTTTATGGTAATAGATTAAACATTTCAGAAGAAATGGACAAATTTCTATAAGGAAAAAAACTACCAAAGCTCACTCAAGAAGAAATAGCTAATAGCTATATCTTTTCTTAAATTTTAATTTTTAGTTAAAAACCTTCCTACAGAGAAAATGGAAAGCCCAGATGCCTTCACTAGTGAAGTCTATCAAACATTTAGGGAAGAAATAATACCAAATCTACATATACTCCTTGAGATATTTAAAAGGAGGGAATACTTCAAATTCATTCTATGAAACTAGCATTACCTTGATTCCAAAATCAAAGACCATATAAGAAAACTAAAGACCAATATCCCTTATAAACACAGAAGCAAAAATGCTGAACAAATTTTGTCAAATTGAATTCAATAGTACAGAACCAAATGGGTTTCATTCCAGGCATAAAAAGTTGGTTTAACATGTGATTGCAATGCATGCAATTCACCACATTAACAAGTTTTTTTTTAAAAAAACCCAACAAATTTAACATCCAGCAAAATACACATAGAAGGTATATTAGTTTCCTATGGCTACAGTCATGAATCACCACAAGCTGAGTGGCTTAGAACGATAGAGATTTGTCTCAAAACTCTGGAGGTTAAAAGTACAAAATCAAGGTGCCAGCAGGGCCTCATAGGTTTTAGGGAAAATTCTTTCCTGATTCTTCCAGTTTTTGATGACTCTTGAACTTCCTTAGCTTTCTTGGCTTGCTTGTGACCAAATCATTGCAATCTGTGCCTCCATCTTCATATCAGATTTTCCTCTGTGTGTTTGTGTCTTCTTTTCTGCTTCATAAAGACACTTGCCATTGAATTTAGGGCCTACCTGGATAATCCATGATGCTGTCATCTCAAGATCCTTAATCTAATTACTTCTGTAATGATCTTTTTTTCCAAATATGGTAACATTCACAGGTGTCAGGGATTTGAATGTGGGCAAATCTTCTGAGGGCCATTAGTCAATTCAATACAGAAAGGGAGTTCCACATCCTGAAAAACAGCAACAACAGAAAAGTTATGGCTGGCGTTATATTTAACGGGGAAAGACTGAATGCTTTTTCCCCTCAGTAAAAGAACAAGACAAGGATGTCCACTCCCAACACTTCAATTAAATATTGCATTGGAGGTTCTAGTCAGGCAAGGAAAAGACATAAAAGACATCTGATTTGGAAAGAAGTAAAACTTTTTACTCAAAGAAAAAATGATTGCATATATAAAAAGTGATGGAATCTACTGAACACCTATTAGAACTAATAAGTGAGTTTAGAATGGTTGTAGGACATAAGATGAATATATAAAAACCAATTATTTTTCTATATACTAGCAATGAACAATTGAAAAGTGAAATTGCAAAAAAAAAAAAAAAGAAAGAAAATCCTATTGGAATTGGATTCTTGATCAGAATTGTTATTATTATTAGTAGTAGTAGTCATGGTATTTGCTCTCAAGGATACTTTTGAAGCAAAATGGGAATAACATCAGTCAATTATCTAATAATATTATGTCAATAATTATTTTCTGATTTTGCTAATTGGACCGTGGTTATGTAAGAGATTAATTCTGGTTTTAGGAAATACACACTGAAATATTTAAGTGTTAAGGAACATCTCAAATAATTATGAAAATACATAAAATGTATATATATGAGAGAAACAATAAAATAAATGATAATAGGGAATAATTAGAGAATCTGGCTGAAGGGAATACAGTATATCATTTTACTATTCTTACGTCTTTTCTGGAAGTAAGTCTGAAATTATTTTAAAGTAAAAGATGAGAAAACAGAACATGAGTAAAGGAATTGAAAACTATACATATAAGCCACTCAAGGAATTTTGCTGCAAATGGAACCATGACTGATTGGACAGGTAGTGTCAAGAGGTGTGAAACTTTATTATAACACTTGGCACAGAGAGGTAAGAGGCATTAGGTCGGTGACATAAAACTCAAAGAAAGGTATATTCACGTCTCTATATCCTGATTACTCATTACTGTGGCCAGCATATGCGTTAGCAGTGCTTTTCTTTTTCTTTTCTCATTCTCTCTTCTCTCGGAGTTGAGTCTGTGTAAGTTAAGTGCCTCCACCATGCATTATATTTACCAATTCTCATACTCAAGGTCAGAATTTGCAGTGTACATCCATACAACTTAAAATGCCACACATCAAAAAAAATGTAATAGGATAACTTTTGTTTTTTACAAATTCTTCACAGATCCTCCCAACAGGAAGGAGGCAGTCAGTCACCATCAAGCTCTATCATGATAGCATCTATGGAAACAGAAAGAGGGAAAAGATGAGTATACTCTTTTAGAACCGAATTAATCTGTTATGAGGATTTTTCCCTGTTTAATGTATTGCCCTCCAAGAAAAGTAGAACAAATGAAAGCAGAATGATAGTCATTTTGTAAAGGATCCTGATACTTTTTCAGGCTGAGAGAAGTTGCTTTAACACCCTGGGACCACCCTGGGTAACATGGCCCCTAGGGGCTTGCCTCGGGCATTCTTTCTTACTAATGTGCAAGAAAGTTAACCAAAGAGGATGGGAAAGGGAGGTGAGAGTCCTTGTTCTATGAATGCTGCAGTCAAGATTTCAAGTAACGTTATATACTCAAGAGAAAAGTACTCATTATATGGCAGTTTTCATAGATATAAATCAGATTATTGTCCTTCTGTTACCAATACACATTCATCTTTGCACTTTACAATATTATTAGTAGGTGGCATATTTTTCAAGAGTCCCCTCTCTTAATAAGATTCTGGGGAAACTGTCGTTCCATCAACACATAAACAAACCTTTCCTTGGTGTTTTTTTTTCCTCCTGCAGTGGATGAGTCTGTTTCATTAGTTTTTTTTCCCCCCTTCCTATTTCAATGTTAGAGGATGACTAAAATCTAGGAATACTATACTATATTCCATTATCTATAGGGCCCAGAATTCAAGTTTAAACTCCCATAAATTATATTTAATTTATCATAAGAAGGTAAGATATAGTGAAAAGAACACTTTATTTGCTGTCAGAAGTGTGTGTGTGTGTGAGAGAGAGATAGATAGATAGAGAGAGATAGAGAGAGAGAGAGAGAGAGAGCTTGAGCATGGCCTCTCAGTGACTCTTGGGGCTCAAAGCAATCATGGAAAGCAATAATAGAGTTAAAATCAGGACTAACTAAGATAATAGATGGGAAAATGATTGTAGACATTAAAGAGTGTTATTTAAATGTTTGATATATTTATTACAAAAAAAGGAAGAAAACACTTAGCAATAAGCAGCTTTGAGATCAATGATACTTGTAATGTTTGTTTTAGAGTGTATTTTTGTTCTTTGCAAACTGTTTATATTATAAAGTTAAGCCAAGTTGCCTATTTAGTTAATGTTTACTGATGAAATGTGATCTATCAAAAAGCATGCAGAGACACAAACCAATAATATAACACAGATAAAAATGTGCAAGGGAAATCAAAATATAATTTAGGGGAAGATAATTTGAAGAATATCAATTTTAAAAACCTAGTTGGAAAAGATAATCTAGATAGGGGGCTATCTGGCTAAAAATAAATTGAAATGATAATACATAGCCAGCATGATATTAACTGAATTTTTGCATTTAAAATAAAAAGGCAATACTATTTCCTATGCTTGTCTGGTCAGACTATCCTTAGTAAATGGTAGTCTTTTGACTATTTTAGTAACAGCCAGGAGCAAGAGAATTTCCAGAATATCAAGTAAGTAAACTAGAAACAAGAAAGTTTGACTTCCAGTAGAAACAAAGAACAAAAATAATTCATTTCACAAAGCTTGGCCAAATTGAAATGGCCCTAGACAAGAATCTGTAGGGTATAAAGAAGAAAGAAAAATTGTTTAGAATATTGTAATGGGATGCAATTAAGGAAAAGAAAACGTAGGCTGAATATCAGAAACAATTTCCTAACAGTCTATTAGACCGTACATTAGTTTCCCAGGGGAAGAAATGGAAGCCTCATTGCCTAAGTCATTTAGAGCTAGACTGATTCCCAGAGGGTGTGGCAACCCAGGAGGAAATGAAAAATGTAGAGTCATGAAAGCCAGTCTAAGTTAATTTTATAGCACAGTGAAAGAAATGCTGCTCTAGGTATTGGAAGGGGTTTAAAACCACTGTAATAGATATGTTTTATCACTTTAAAATGAATGGTTCACCTAGCCATGTATTACCACCAGTGTCAGGTGAAGTCTGCTCTCAGGCAAATCCAGTACTATCCCTGGGCTAAGTGCTAGGACAGAACAACAACACACACTTTCATAATGTGAAAAGAATCATAAGATGGCTGCAACTTCTACTACTCTAAGAGGCAACAGGGCTGATTTAGATTATCTAGCTTCCTACCTACATACTGGCTTTTCTCTTTGCCTCATATGTCGCCTCCAAAGCTCCACTAAAGGAGAATGAACTCTAAAAGAGGCTGTTTTTTAATAATTATATTTTTGGAGGCAATCACCTCCAACACTAAACTCCTATCTTGAAATGAGCATTGAAATGAGCTCATTGATATGAGCTCATCTCCTATCTTGGGATGAGCATTTGTACAGTTTATTTAACCATATTAATGACAGTGGTCCTCTTGTTTTTAGGTTGCATGGGACATTTCTTTTCATATCTTTTAGTCTTTTCTGAGTCATACCATGAAGGTTAGATTCTGTATTTTTGAAGCACATTTACGTCCCCCACCAAGATTTTACAGATTCTACAGAATCCAGCTAGCATTAGTGTAAAATAGAATCTAAGGGCTATTCATGTAAGATGCCATTATGACTCACAAAGGAAGCAAAAAAAAAAAAAAACCAAAATGCTGCCCATAAAACTGTGACACAATACTTTATCTTTTAGAATTTTTATTTTATGCTTATCGGAATAGCCTTTTAAAGACTTTTTGTTGTAGCTTATTTACCATTCATTCTATTTGTATGCATTTTTTAATTGGTGAAATAAATTGTTTAATATATTCCTCAACAATTTCACACTTAGAGTGCAACTGTTCTGCCTCCCTTTCAAACCCAGAGTTGTTGATACTTACCTGTGTTTTATTACAAAACACGGTCTTGTGTGTCATCAAGAGCGTTAGTGATGTAGCATTTCTTTTAAAAAAGTGCTCCACTGTAGTCTCTGGGATTTGCTCACAAGCTGCTGACACCTTGTTCTGCAAAATTTCTTGCTGGCACTTTCTTGCTCGCCACGCAATAGTCAATAGAAGCAAAAGATAACACAGCTTTATCTCCCTGTGGAGTCTTTCTTCCTTAACACCAACAAATCACGTTGCTTTTGCTTTCCAAGAGAATAAAAAAGAATTCACTCTTTCCTTTTAGGATGAATATTTGGCTTCTGGACTACTAAATATATGTCCCGTCAGTGGTTTCTGTTTCTTTCTGGACACACAATAACTTTCCATGTCAATGCAGAATCATAACGTAATTTTTGAAGACATTTTAAAAGACAATTAAATGTAATACCTGGAGTGTACACATAACTCAATGAAAATGACAGTATGAACAACTATGATCCAACCTGCTAATGCGCAGGCGATGACATCTGGATCACAACTGCCACCTGGTTGGGAATGACAGGAAGATGTGAAAAATCACATTTTGAGGAGATATCTTGAATCCCTTGTTCTTGTAACATTTTCCCCAAGCCTTATTCACCCCACCTGGAAAATTTTACCTGCCCTTGAGTTAAAGCTGTTACTGAGAAATAACCACTGGTGTCTTTCTCAAGAAAAACTGCAGGGCTTTTTTTTTTTTTTTTTATTGCTCAAGGCAAACATCCTGTTTGAGGAAAACACATGTTAGAGTGCTTGAAACTTTGCTTGCCATTCTCAGTGTTTTTGTTGCTTGTTGTCAGGCGGTCTCTTTTCCTTCTAATGATCTATAAAATTATTTCCCTACATAATGACTTTGAAGGAGTTTTTTTTCAGAGGCTTTCTTCCTTGCTGTATTCAGCTTATATGGAATAACTTTTCA